TATAGCGAACAAAATAAACAAATAAACAAACTTCCTCTTTTATATATATATATAGATAATAATGTTGTGTTTTTTAGACATGCATATTGTACCTTGTATCAGCATTTTTTGTTGTGTTGTGTTAACACCATTGATTTTCTCAGACTTTTCAAAACTCATCCATTGAACTTGGCCTTAATCAGTAAAATATTTTGCACACTCTTAATCATGACATCCTGACAGTTTTATACAACCTCTGGTGTAAGGGTTGTATAAATATTTCTTCTCTGGTGTATGTTTACAACCTGAAAAAACAAAAAAAGCAACATCAAATTGATTATTCCCAAAGTTATTGTGCTTCTTTCTACACATCTTTAACTTCAAGATTTAGATTTCTTTCAATAATTTGTTTTAATTTAGCCAATAGATGTTACTACCATTTCTGTTTCAGCTTTATTAGCTTATTTTATAAATGATTTAAGTGTTGAAAACTCCTCCGATGCAGAAGTGACACTCTGAACAAGAGATATTGATTATTATCGAGTTTGTAATGTCATTGTTTGTGTGCACATTAAATTTCTCATATCATTATAATTATTATTATTATCATAAAGTAATTATCAGATGAACTCGAAATATATCATCTATAAGCTCTGTAATGGATTAAACTTCAAAGCTTTACATTGTTCCAATCTTCTTTGTGAGTAGTTTACAGTATTGTAAGAACTGACCTGACCTCATCAGGCCTCAATCAAGTTCATTCCCTAAACCTAATCACAGGGTAACAAAATTATAAGGATTGCATTTGGAAACTGTTCTCAAAGTTGCATTTGGGGGGTGGTTAAAGTAATTTCTATGTCTGTATGTGTGTGAACAAGAAAGCAATAAACTTTTCTTCCAAGCTTCTAGTAGTTTTTATGTTATTTTATTATTTTGTTTTATAGGTGTAGGCATTTATGTTTAGCTGTGGACTAACTGAGTTGTCTTTGTTTAGATGTGATGATTTTAATACATAGAGGAAATTGTTTCCTACGGTAGTTCCATGATAGACAGTACTGTAACTTTTATTGAGTTCACTTGGTAATCTTTATAGTTTTTAGAGTTGAACCTAGTCAGTAGGATTTGCTACATAATGTTTATAGTATTTATTAGATCAGGATTCACCACATAATCTTTATAGTATTTATTAGATATATCAGGATTCACTACATAATCTTTATAGTGTTTATTAAACAGATCAAGATTGGATCTAGTTATTTTGTACTGATACATACTGAACATATGGAACAAAAATATTGATTTCAATCTCAAGATTCATATTATAAGATGTAATCTTCCCAATGGAGTATTTAAAGAAACATCAGAGTATTCATTTTATCATACCTGAAGCAAAGTTAATTTGTTCTACACTCTCCTTCTCCTGGCAAGTACAATGAAAAAATGAGACAATAATAGGAGTTTTACATAATAATACGGTTAGGTCAAAAAAATAAACAGGAGTTTTACATAATAATACAGTTAGGTCATTAGAAAGTAACACGAGTTTTACATAATTATACAGTTAGGTCATTAGAAAGTAACACGAGTTTTACATAATTATACAGTTAGGTCATTAGAAAGTAACAGAAATTTTACATAGTAATACAGTTAGGTCATTAGAAAGTAACAGGAGTTTTACATGATAATACAGTTAGGTCATTAGAAAGTGAAACAACAGCAGTTTAGAATTTGAACAAAATGCAATACCTTTTCCTCATCACCAAAGTTGTAATCACTCATAAGCAGCACTGACTTCTGTGGATTATTTTTATCTTTTGTAATTTTCCTGTATTGCTGTTTCAAGAATTATGAAAAGCATTACATATCTCCTCAGAGAAGTGTTCAGAAAGATCACAGCCCCAGTTTAATGTTCTTTACTATATCTTCATCAAACTGAGAGTCTGTTTGATGTCAGTGTAAGATAGAGGTTTTTCTCTTGGGATAAGTGGGTTAAGTTTCTAGATTTATATTGGTTCTTGTGTGAATTTAATAATTGTATAACAGAGCTTCTTCTAAATCTGACTTAAGTATATTGAAAGTCATTTTCTGATATATTTTCTAGTTAATAATCGTAGAAGCTGGTGTGAAGACAACCAACAGCTAATGCCAGTTGAAACACCCCGTAAATGCAGGTCCTCTACTGCATCTCCCGTGGTTACCCCAAAGGATATTGGAGAAGTGATGTCTAAGGATGATCCCCATTACAAGCCTAACAGCAGCTCACAGAATCCTTTCAATACACATTTCATATTTAAAGGACAGAAAAAGATAGTGGAACAAACAGTAGTTCTGTCACCCAACTTTACATATGACCTTCCATCTCCTTCAGGAGCTTTAACTCCTCCTGGGACTCCCATCACTCCTGATGAGTGCCCATCTTCACCTAGAGAGACCCTGTCTACAGGGCTCCAGAGACTTTCTGTTCACTCTCGAGCTCCTTCCCCAACATTACTACAGCAGACCCTAAAAAAAATTTACACCTACAAGTCAAATGTTACAGTTCCAGAGCCCAGTAATACCAAAAAGGTTGTTAATAGTTCCGTCCATAATGACTCGGGAGAAGAAGAAAAAGAGAATGTGGGATTAGCATCATGCCCACAAGGTTCCACTTTATCACCTCTGTTACAGCACAGTCAAGTCCTCGTTAGTGCCAAAGTACATAGTTCCTGTACAGATTCTCTGTCAACTGAACAGTGGGAGTCCATTAAGCAGTTTACTTGTCGCCAAAATGAGGAATGGAAATCAGATAAAGATTCTAGTCGTGGGGCTCTGGGAAGGAAGCGGCCTTCTTCCTACCACTCGGATGACTCTGGTTGTTACTGTGGAGTTCCTTGCACTTTGCAAGTACCAGAAATAGTTCCACTAAATTTGAGAACTGGTCATGGTGATATAGAGTCCAGTATGGAAGACCTGAATGAGCATGAACAATACTCTATTAAAGAAAAATTCACAGCTTTTACCACCAGTCAGCCTACAAAAAATATATTGCTGCAGCAAGAAATGAAGTCCACTTCAGGTGTTTCTGTTGACCCCAGCAAATGGACAAGACTCCCTAGTCAAAGTTTAATATGTCATGAAGTGACAAAAAGCTGTGAAACTGTGCTACAGCAGCCACATGCTTGTAATGGTGGAAAGCTCTTTCAGTCCAGAACGACAGCAAACTTTCTCTAGACAATGGAGGAAATACAGAAAGAAAGGTTTGTAAAACATTGTTAGTTTCTCTTTTTGTGTGTGTGTGTATGGACTACTTTAAAGTAATTTGTACATTCCTGACTGTTTCTGTTAAAATGAAATACTGAACAGAGTTGGGCTTTAATTGAAGAGATGAGTTTCACCTTCTGCACCATGAGAACTTATGTAATTAATGTTTCTTTTATGGTATAACTTTGGTGGAGGGAAAAATGTTCCTTTTTTTTGTACTTACAGTTAGATGAGGAATGTTACTGTAAAAGAAGTATTGTAAAACCGTTTTTTTTCTAAATTTGTTACGGTTTAAGTTATTGTATGTTTGTCTTTTAAGTTTTTATCACAGCCAATTTTTGTTCTTCCACTTCTCAAGAATAAGGTGTATAACTATTATTTATCTTACCATTTTTTTTTTAGACACCTTTAAATATAAAGCTCACTTTATTCCATAAGTCATATATAAAAACAACCTTGTGGCACTTCAGAGAAAGTATTTTTTATACCCTACCACCCAACATATTGTTTTGAAGCTTCCAGGAAAACAGTCTACGTAAAAGAAGTTTTAAGGAGTTGTGAATAGAAAGTACAAAATTACCTTCTTAAAAATATGAAAGATGAGAATTAACTAATAGAAATTCCATTTTTCAACTACAAAAACATTAACATAAGTTAAACACTTCAAATCTGATTTTCAGTTTCATTATTTTCATGGATCTCCAGAGATTTTTAAGTGATAATTGTTTCTTCTTAGTGTGTGAAAGTGTGGTTAAATTTATATTTTTTTGTATTTAGGTTCTGCTCATGAAATGTGTGTTTATTATTCATTTATAAACTCATTTTGTAAAATAAAAAACAAGACTGGGTTATAGCAATATTGTGTTACACTATATGTCTTTATGTTTAGTATTGTATTGTTTTCTGTGTCTGATTAGGAGGTTTATTAACACATTATTGTTTCTTTTGTTGGTTAGTTAGGAGTTCAGTATTAAGTTATTGTTTTCTGTTTTCTTTGTTGTATAGTTAAGAGTTCAGTATTACGTTATTGTTTTCTGTTTTCTTTGTTGTATGGTTATGAGTTCAATAATACATTATTGTTTTCTGTTTCCTTTGTTGTGTGTTTAAGAGTTCAGTAATACTTCACTCACCTGACACGTGTACCTTTGGTTTGAAGTTTTCTAAGCTACTAATTTAACCTTAGTTGTTATTATATGTAGATGGTGTCTCCTGATGAAGTTGCCAAGATAAATACTGAGTAGTCAAAAAAAAATTTTTCTGGAGCAAGACAAGGTTGCTAGTACTTTTTTTTTGTAATTTTTTTTATATATATTTTTTTTGTAAAACTGTGTACAGATGATAATATCACATTGTTTTCATAAGCTGTAGTGATGGAAGCATTTAATGTTGGTTGTACGGCTAAGCTAGACATTTTATCCATGAGTTGTATTATTAATATTTACAGGCCATTTTTTCATGTAATTCAGTGAAATTATTTTTTCATCAGTTATATCTGTTTCATTTTTACAGAATAGACTCAAGAAATGTCCAACAGCAGGAAATGAAAGTGAACACAAAAGGGTTTTAAAATGTATAGATAGTAAAGTTTGTTTTTATCTTGTTATAAGACTGTTTAAAAGAAAAAGTCCTAAATTTGTATTAAAATAAAATGTGGACTTGTAGAAGCATTACTTCAGATTTTACATAGTTTTAAGTATAGAATTTTAGACGAGGTTGTGTAACTGTAATCCAAAGATTTGTGTTTGTTACTAGATTAGCAACACATTCTTCAATCACAGTATTTTTGTGTTGTATCTTGAACAGGTATTTAGCAGGGTTTAAAAACTCTAATTCTCCTGTCAAGTATTTGATTGCCATATGTGTGCTGTTTCATAAAGTTAATGGCATGTGATACGTCTCCAGTGTATTTTATTGTGGATTTGTGTTTGAATAACTTGTGAAAAATGATTCATAACCCACAGATAGAAGAAAATTAGATGAGAATTTATCTCTGTCATCAAATAATTATGTGTAATTTGCTTATCTTACAACTAGAAACAAAGTACCTGAACTTATTTATTCAGTGGGTGATCAAATATTTTGAAGAGAACACTGAAGCAAAATAAATGTTCTGAAGGAAATTCCTGTTTTTTTTGTTTTGTTTTGTTTTTGTAAAATTTACATGAACATTCTTCTTTTTTGTGTTGTGTTCAGGATTTGCATGTGATAAATTCAAACCTTAGCTAACTAAATGGCACTAGGAGTGGACAGTTGTTTGAAGTGTTTGGGTTCGTTATAATATTCTATTATAATCTTGACATTAAGCTTGCCTGTACAAGTATCATTAACTTAACTATTTGATTCTTATATTTTATTAAATACTTAAGAGTGTAATAATCAACTTTGGTATTTTTAAATCTAATAGTTTTTTTTTTTATTTGAGTTCATTATGCCAGATCCATTTCAGTTATTTCTTAGCTTGTCAAATTCTAGGAGTTCTAATGTCGTGTTGTTGTTTTTTAACTCGATAGACCTTTTTCACAGATTGCCATCCATAAAGTTGTTCATACTTACCTTATTCAACTAGAAGGAATTATTTTTGAGAAACATAATTCATCTTCGTGTACTTTTAAAACTATTTTGGAGTATGTAAATGTGTGTATACTTGTATGAAATTTTTTTTCGTTGTTGTAGAATAATATATTCTTGAAGAACCTATGTACAAAGATCCCAGATTATTAGTCTATCAGCTCATTTTGAAATATGGACTTATAGAAATAAAACATAGCTACAACGTTCTTGTTGTCTTAAGAACTGTTTTTTTTTCTTTGTTTGTTTTTGTAAGAAACAGCCATTTCTCTCTATATTAAATATAAACTTTAGTTAAACAAACAGGCATTTAGGTCCTTTACATACAGGGTTTGTATAAGTACTGGCAAGATGTGATATTTGTAATTAGTGACATTTTTTAGATAAAAAAAACTACTGATGTCAGTTACCTACTTTTGATGAACAAGTGATACTACAGTCATCTTACAACATTACATTCTTCTCTATGTCAGGTTGGTATTTTAAAAGGATATTTATGGATTCTTTAAATAAGAATTCTAAAAAACATGTTTTTTTTAGTTACAGACAGTTTGTTCCCAATGGGTATAGTATGAAAGCTTATGTAAGATAGCTAGTGCCCAGCAAGTATAGTGTGAAGGTCTATATAACAGCAAGTACAGTGTGAAGGTCTATATAACAGCTAGTGCCCAGCAAGTATAGTGTGAAGGTCTATATAACAACAAGTACAGTATGAAGGTCTATATAAGAACTAGTGCCCAGCAAGTATAGTGTGAAGGTCTATATAACAGCAAGTACAGTATGAAGGTCTATATAACAGCTAGTGCCCAGCAAGTATAGTGTGAAGGTCTATATAACAGCTAGTGCTCAGCAAGTATAGTGTGAAGGTCTATATAACAAGTACAGTATGAAGGTCTATATAACAACAAGTACAGTATGAAGGTCTATATGAAGGCCCAGCAAGTATAGTGTGAAGGTCTATATAACAGCAAGTACAGTGTGAAGGTCTATATAACAGCTAGTGCCCAGCAAGTATAGTGTGAAGGTCTATATAACAACAAGTACAGTATGAAGGTCTATATAAGAGCTAGTGCCCAGCAAGTATAGTGTGATGGTCTATATAACAGCAAGTACAGTATGAAGGTCTATATAACAGCTAGTGCCCAGCAAGTATAGTGTGAAGGTCTATATAACAGCAAGTACAGCATGAAGGTCTATATAACAGCTAGTGCCCAGCAAGTATAGTATGAAGGTCTATATAACAGCTAATGCTCGGCGAGTATAGTGTGAAAGTCTATATAACAGCTAGTGCCCAGCGAGTACAGCACGAAGGTCAATGTAAGACAGCTAGCGCCCAGCAAGTATAGTGTGAAGATCTATGTAACAGCCAATGCCCAGTGAGTATAGGGTGAAGGTTGATGTACAGCTGAACTCACTGGGTAGTAGCTGTCTTACACAGACCTTCAACTATACTCGCTGGGCATTAGCTGTCTTACATAGACCTTCACACTATACTCGCTGGGCATTAGCTGTCTTACATAGACCTTCACACTATACTCGCTGGGCATTATCGTGAAGGTCTGTATTACAGCTAGTGCCCCACGAGTATAGTGTGAAGGTCTGTATTACAGCTAGTGCCCCGCGAGTATAGTGTGAAGATCTGTATAACAGCTAGTGCCTAGCAGGTATAGTTGAAGATCTATGTAACAGCTAGTGCCTAGCGGGTATAGTTGAAGGTCTATGTAAAACAGCTAGTACCTAGCGGGTATAGTTGAAGGTCTATGTAACAGCCAGTGCCTAGCGGGTATAGTTGAAGGTCTATGTAACAGCCAGTGCCTAGCGGGTATAGTTGAAGGTCTATGTAAAACAGCTAGTACCCAGTGAGTTCATTGGGAAGGTCTATGTAAAACAGCTAATGCCCAGCGAGTATAGTTGAAGGTCTATGTAAAACAGCTAATGCCCAGCGAGTATAGTTGAAGGTCTATGTAAAACAGCTAGTACCCAGTGAGTTCATTGGGAAGGTCTGTGTAAGACAGCTAATGCCCTGCGAGTTCACCATGGTCTATGTATACATTTTCTTTATGATTTATTGTAAACATTTTTTTCTGCTTAGAGGAAATGGTTTTAAATAACCTATGCATCAGTGTAAAGGTAAAAAGTTCCTTCTTTTGACCCAGTTTGGATACAAAACACAAAAATGCCTGTTGGGTAAACAGTAAGGTTATGTGACGTTACTTAAATTTAGATTGATGTAACATGATTTTTTGTTTTAGCAAGTTCACTGTAGTTTAATAAAATGCGATTATTTGCCTCAAAGCCAATGTTAGTTCTTCCTTGGTTATATTTATGGTAAGTACTTAAAATAATCATCAGTTTACTGATTTGTTTATTTAACAAACTTAGAAAAACTTAAAATTTCAGCTGTTCCACATGTGTATAGTAACTGTT